AAGAAGTGTAGTCAGATGTACACACGGCGACAAAACGAAACAAGGTAACAATTCAAACATATTTCGGCCAATTCCAACTATTTTGATTTGTGGAGAAGGTTTCAAGCCGCAGAGGTCTACAAGCACAGATATGGCTACTGATCCCGTTTGGCTGGGCCTCGTGCCCTCGCAAAATTGTTTCGAAATTTATATCTCCAAAGTTACCAAAACTTATAAAATGCCTTAGCTACGTCCCAGTTAGACACTGATTTTCAGTATATTAGACTGTTCTTTTGATAATGATAGCAATTATCCCTGTAGTTTATCCAGATTCCTGATGGTTACTTCTGACGCGATCGCCGAATGACGAGGGCGACGCCATGTTTGTTTATAAACAGTGAAAGTAGTCCTACTTGACCTTTGATATTTGCATCTCTATCCGCATATGACCCCAACGGATATCGTTTTTATCCGTTGGCTTTATCCTGCCGAGAAACCTACCCATTATATGATATACATATATAAAATTAAATAAGTGGAGTAAGATTGAACACAATCTGGGATCCTTGATTCCTCATCACGACGGGTTTATTAACAGATGCATGAGGGGTGTGATCTGTTCGCTTCTTATTTTTGAAAAAACTGTTCCCATATCTTTCTTGGGGTAGACTGCAGTATTTGGGTCCCCACTTCGGAAGGAACGTTTTTACGTGTTTACGGAAGTTGTGGAATGAAAAACGTTCCACGCATGCGCAGTTCGTTATTTACGGTCGAAGCGAGAGGATTTGTTGGCCTTTCTTGATATCTCAGTAACCAGTTTTCTTTTTGTCGCCACTTTTCAAATGCGTTTTCTTCATCTTTGTTGCACTCATCTTTCCAGATTTTAAGAAGTTTATCAAGTACATGCCCTGAATTTCTTCTATGTAGCAATTCCCGCATATGTTCATCTGCGTCATCAAACTTACGGCGATAATTATCCGCGTTTATTTGCATCAGCTGAATGTTACTTCGAAATCTCTGTACCGCTAGCTTGATACGAATATCTTTTGCTTCATCACTCTCGCCTTCTATTGGTCGAATGCGATATTTAAGAGGCAGCATAATGTGTTCTTCATTCAACCACGTTTCATAAATGATGCAGTGGTTTGTCACATTTAGATAGTTCCAAAAAGCTTTACTCCGTGCATTACAGTTAGATTTCATTAGGTGTTCCATTAACTTCCTCTGTCTATATGCTTCTCTTTCTACGTAAGATTCTGTATTTCTGCAATGTACGGATGTTGAATGGACTCACCTTTATTGTCTGGATGTCCAACTGAATCCCGTGAATTCGGCGTTTCCATACGGGTGCCTACTTGTTCACCCTTCATTGTCACTGCTAAATCTGTGATTAGCGCACTTGTGATGTTTTGTTTCATCTGTGTTACCTTGGCAACCGTCAATAAATCTTTCAACAGTTCGTTTGTTGTTTCAACTTTTCCAGAAAGCACAGTGATCTTCCCTTGGATTTCTTTCAGATTGTAACGAAATAAAATTCATTTTACTAATAGCTGACATTTCAGATGACATATCAAATAAGAGTTGAAGACTTGCAATAGAGTATCATACGTTAATCGAGAGTACAGTGTACATAAATAATTTGTAAATCTAATATTAATTTTTGATCTAATATCCATGGCAGAATGTTTGAAAACGAGCTATAATATATTCCATTTTCTGAAGAGATTAGTAATGTGTATTTGATAATATATATGCATACACAATTGTTATCAATTATCTTCTACAATCACAGCATGTACCATGTACATTAGACTCATGGAAAATACTATTTCAGCAAACCAATCACAGCGCCATTATCGCAGTTTCAATGAAAGGAAAAACAAATCCAAATCGAACTTAACAGCACAGCGTATCCATAAGCGGTTAATCCAAATACAAAAAGGTATTGATGTCAGCATTGTAGAAGTTATGTTGATGTTTTCAGTAGTTGCATTATGTTTGTATCGCGTGTACCATCGACAGAAACGGGGCCCGAGCTACCACATGTGGAACCGACCTTGACACAATTTGTTTACAATATGGCGTCGACTCACGTTAGATGTCGTGGCCACACTTTTGAAATCTCCATTTGCGACAAAATGTGAAACAGTTAGGGCAAGTCACTCACACGGTCAGGTAGTATGAGCAATCACACATGACTCTTAGTCATTTCATATTAAAAAAGTAGCAGTTACTTGTCTGAACGGGCGAGTATGTAGGACAACCGGTAAACAAGAAATCGCGGCACAGATATGAGGCGAACGTGCCCTGTCGATCACTTCGGGCTCGGCCATTAAATGTTTATAGGTTTTGATCATGAACCTCCTGCCCATAAATATACACTATACCAACTTAATATTAACGATTATAGCAATCTTTCCATATCTTTGATTTGAATATTTTCTGTAAATCAGCATCATAAACAAAAAGACAATCTGCACTGTCGGTTGGTATGCAGCGCCGTGCTAAATCGCCATGACACACAATCGATAAACATATGCAATACTTGAACAAAAAACTTCCGTGGCCGACTAAACGTTAGTACTCTTGGGCCAATAACTGTACAGTGGGGACTAGTAAATCTTTCTGACCAGTCCGATCAGATTTCTTTTTCAAATTGGCTGTCTGATATAATAATAGTTACGTGTATGTGACATGGGTGCATAATAAAAAAATGCCTTCATTCGCATGAAGTTCAACATGGCAGAAAAAGATAAAGAAGAGGGGTAACCACATTACTAATCTCGCCATATTTCGCAATCCGTAGCACTGCATAAAATATGAGTTACACGATATTAACGTTGAGATGATTAGGGTGATGATGGTTATAAATTCATTCAATGTACGTCATAAATGTAATGGAAATATTATCAAATATACACTGTCGTTTTCTCATGTGTACCGACCATTCCGCCATTACCGATAGTCGATAAAAATATACAAAACGTGTAAACAAACTTGTTCGTAAAGGAGTGAACAGAATTGTATTAACGTGAATAAGTATACAGTTGGGAAAAATATGTCTTTCTGACCACACAGGTCATATTTTTTCTTATGAACAAGGATTTTGTCTGAAACTATTTACGTGTATGTGACAAGGGTGCATAATCAAAATTCGCCGTCATTCGCTTGGTGTTCAAACATGGCAGAAAAAGGCCGAGAAGAGCGGTAGCCACTTTACTAATCTCGCCATATTTCGCAATCCGTAGCATTGTATAAAGTATGAGTTACACTATGTTAAAGCTAAGATGATTGGGGTGATGATGGTTATAGTTTTGACTTTGCGCACTCAGTGTTAAATATCAAAATTCACAGTTTAAAAAGGGCATTTTCTCGGGACCATATATGGTCCCCTGGCACTATGCGGGTGTGAAAAGTGAGGGACCATATATGGTCCCGTGGCACCAAGAGGGTTAACGAGTCCGTCATAGTCGGACTTTTTAGTCCGACTTCTCAATTCTACTCCATCCATGAGAGCGTTCATGTATAAAAAAGCACAGTAAAGTTCTAACTCTCAGGCACAATATAGTAATAATTAAATAAGTGGAGTAAGATTGAACACAGTTTTAATAGGCTAGCGCTTTCAACTCGTACACCGTATGAGTCTCATCAGGCCATAACTGATTCTACCATGACATTGATGAATGCTTGATTCTGATTGGTTAAAAAGAGGTTTCCTTTTTGCTACAGAAACCCCTTTCAAATATATTAAGCCTTTTCACAAAAAAACGTGCGTATGAATACATAGATAGCCTACATATCGATTCAAAGAAAATGGCTGCCGATCGATCACCCCCATATATGAACTGTAAAACATATCTATATTTCCTCTAATACACGCTGGGTCTCAAATACCAGACAGGTCTCTAATACACGCAGAGTCAAGGGCTCTCGCGAAATTAATAGACGGCGTATAGTGTCAAATAGAGGAAATACGGTAGTTTGATATCGGCTGTTTGGGGCGTTCTAGGCCGCAACCCTGACTGCTTCGATGATGACATTAAAAGATTTAACGAAGGCATATCTTTTGCTTACAAATGAAATGTTTATGAAACTGTTAGGGAAATGTTCTATGGTGACCAGAATCGGTACAATTTAAGCTATTTCCTCATTGAAACAACCGACAATGAAAGTAAAATATAACATTATAAAAATTGTTTGAAAAAACAACATCACATCAGCAGGGATAGTTAGTCAACGTGTTAATGTTGAACAGCATCACACTGTGCATCAGTACTGGGTTGTCTTCTGGTTTCCTGCAATTCTTTAACAGCACTGTCACTGTTAACAATTTCTTTGGCAGCCATAACTGAGAGTGTAGTGCAGATACAGTGACAACCGGGACACGTTAGGACGGTTCTCATTTCAGAGTGGGGAGGTATAATTCAAAGATTCACACATTCAAAATAAGTGAAAGAGTGATATCTAATAAATTTTGTTTAGAAAATAATAATTGTTCAATTTTTTGGTATCTTTTTCTGAAACCCACGAACAGTTAATTTCATTACTGAAACAACCGACAATGAAAGTGAAATATAACATAATAAAATGTGTTTGAAGACATTTATTCATGACAACATGGTGTTTACAAACCTTTTTCTGATCGATATCCATTGCCATCTCCGTCAACCACCCCCGTTAGAATTTGGCAGGTGGGAAATTGAAAGTCCACGAAAACAATGTCCCAACTGAAGTGACAGCTTATCAAACTTGCTGAAATTCATTTCAGAACACGCACAATTATGGAAATTATACACGACCTACTATTTCTGGACCAGAAATGTCTAAGTTCTGTCACTTTTTGGCGTTGGATCCGTGAAATCTTGAAATTGACAGGTCACACCATGCAGATTCCTCGTTTCAAAATATCCGTCTCGTCTGCAGCCTAAACAGCGGCTGTTCAGTCATACTCAGTTCAATTAGTAATCATATGGATGTGTAGCAGTTTAGTGAAGGTCTTTTTAGAGCGAACAAACACATGCTACGGGGTTGAGGTCTTTATTGCGATGCGTTGAGTGTGATCAAGGATCTATATATCATACACCCTGAAACACATAATAACACAATAAATACTAAGTAAAACATTATCATTAATGCTAGATACATAGCATAGGCTTAATACAAGTAAGTATTTACATATATTAGTCATCCATTAAACACAAGATAGACTGAACCTTAAACGATTATACTAGAACATATACAGTATGTACATGATCAACAATACCGACATTCAAGGGAGATAACTCCTTGACTTTCATTTGACTATAATATATACACAATATATATACATAATATAAATGCATAACGCTTACACATTCTGCATAAACATATACAATACTTTAAGACAGAAATTAATGATATGATCTTACATTAAATGTGGTCATCACAATTAGATTACATTGTAAGTCTTAGACAAATATAAATAACACAATGCATACCCTGTGGGTGATACAAGGGTGTGGATCCCAACTGCCTATATGGCAACACCATAGATTATCTGAATAAACAATACATAGACTAAAACACTATTTAACATTTAATATATTGAACAAAGTAATACACACATTTTCTTTACAATGATTTGCATTGTATCACATCTGAATCTCTACATTACAAAGCTTATTAAAACACTCTTGAGGTAAAACACTTTCACACATATTTCATTGAAGTAATAGAATACATTTTAGTGATAAAGTATGGATGTTTAGCTTATCCTATGCAGATTTAAATATTTTGACATAAATCAACATTTATGTTAGATTACATACATTTAGTTTACTTCATATAACACTTTGAACATACTGTATTATTTAAATACAACACAAGATAGAGATTATAACTATTTAACTCACCTGATTAATATTGTCTCTTTACACTTTGCTGGTCTGAGCAGTTCTGTCAGTTTATGTGCTGAGACAGTATGCAGTGTAATCAAAGCATGCAGTTTAACAATAGGTGTTAGCTTGGCCAATCAGCAAAGGAAGCTTCTGGCCATGGGGCAGTTAGTAGGTGAGACAGGTCAGATACACTTTGTTATAGCTGACTGAAACGGACAACTAGTTATATATGATAAATATACGTAAAAACCTAAAATGAAATTAAAACAAATATATACAAAAACTACATCGGCCACATACTTCCCTCCATCGAAAAATGACGTCCACGTCACTTTACCGTTCCAGTGACAAGATCCAAGATGGCATCAGAAAGTCGGTGCTGCTGTTCTCGGAACAATCCGTCAGCTTGAAGTGAGCTGAGATAGTTGGCTTGCGTACGCCAGTCCCGATCTGCAACTGCAGAGAGAGCAAACTCTCCACTCTTCATCCATTTCGGCTTTGTCCGGGTCCGAGGAGACTGCCGTGGACGTGGAACAGGAGTGGTTATCTCTGGAGTTGGATGTTGCTCTCTTTCTTCATTGTCATTGTCATCATCATGATCTGTCCCAGTAGCGCCATCTTCTTCACGAATCTGCTCAACATGCTGAACAGCATCCTCAGTTGGCTCTTCCTCCCCCTCTGCAATAGGAGTTCCATCTCCTTGAGATACAGTCTCTGATGGTTCCTCTTCAGTTGGCCCATCCACTGGTATATCAGTGGACACTGAAGCTTGTGGAGGGTGGGCATACTCAACAACAGTATCCTCATCCGATGAAACATCGTCGTTACTTTCTGTTGTCCTAGCAACTGGTGCTACTGGCAGTGTCCTCTGTCGTCTTGGTTTGGGTATTGGCACACCAAGGCTAGGCATAGAACCAACTGGCAGCAGGAGGTTACGATGCAAAATTCTCTTCCGCCCCTCACCATTTTCCTTACCAACTTCAAAGACTGGTATGGATGGGTTGGGTCAGCGTAGCACGACATAAACATCTTCCTCCCACCTGTCAGCTAGCTTATGCTATACCTTCAAAGGCAACGATCTTCACTAAGACCCGGTCTCCTGGCTCTAACATGGCTGCTCTGGCTCTGTGATCATAGCCAATCTTCTGCTTGGATTGTGATTTCATTGCTGCTGTAGTAGCTAGCTCATAGGCTTGTCTGAGGCGATCTTTCAATGACTTGGTGTACTCGGTGGTGGACTTGGTACCTTGTTTCTCTATGTCCAAGCCAAAAGCTAAATCCACAGGTAGTCTAGGGTGTCTCCCGAACATCAAATAGAATGGAGCTGTTGATGTTGATTCGTGGCGGGTACAGTTGTAGGCATGGACGAGTGGTCCTACATGAGCCTTCCAATTCTTCTTCCTGTCCTGATCAAGAGTGCCAAGCATGTCGCATAGGGTACGATTAAATCGCTCACACATCCCGTTGCCCATTGGATGGTAAGGTGTTGTGCGGGATTTGTCGATGTTCAATAACTGGCATAACTCTTGCATTATCTTGCTGGTGAAGTTGGCTCCCTGATCCGAGTGAATTCTCTTGGGTAGACCGTAATGAACTATGAAGTTCGAAAAGAAAGTCTCAGCTGTTGTCTTAGCAGTCATGTTCTTGGTTGGGTATGCTTGTGCATAACGAGTAAAGTGATCAGTCACAACCAAAACATGTTCTACTCCTCCTTTTGATGGTTCTAAGGTGAGAAAATCCATGCAAACAAGTTCCAAAGGTTCTGTTGTCTCAATACTTATCAATGGGGCTCTGATGTTGGTTGGTGTTTTTCTCTTCAAACATCTCTCGCAATTATGCAGGTGAGTTTCAACATCACGAGACATTCCTGGCCAGTAAAATCTCTCTCTCAATAGTGACATTGTCCTGTCTCTGCCAGGATGTCCAACATTGTCGTGTAAACTCCTCATAGCCGCAGTGCGACATCTAGATGGAAGAACCAACTGGTCGTGATCAGCTCCATTGACATTGGTGACTCTGTATAAAACTCCTCTTTTGAGCTTGAACTGTTTGTAGCTTTTAAGCAGAGTAGTCATCTCTTGGTCCCGTAGAAACTGAGTTCTGTCTGGTCTCGTCCCATTCCGCAAGTGACCGCCTCCGTGGTCTTGTGGTAGAGCGTCCGCCCGGAGAGCGGAAGGTCCAGGGTTCGATCCCGGGCCGCGTCATACAAAAAGACGTTAAAAGATTGTACTTGTTGTTACCCTGTCTGGGGCTCGGCATTAAGGGGCTAAAACAAGGACTGGTCGGCTCGGAGTCAGTATACTGTGTCTGAGTGGGGTATTCATGTTAAACTGCGGCATGGTATCTCAGTGAGCTAGCACTATAAATCGGCATCAGTCCGGACTAGTACAAGCAGCCACACACACACATACACGTGCATGCATGTCGCTATATAAGTGCAATAATCTTGGACGCGACGTTAAACCCAATTTCACCTCACCTCACCTCACCATTCCGCAAGTGGTCTATGATCCCCACAAGTAATTGGTCTTTCGCTTGTGTGTGTCTCCAATCCCTGGCATTCTGGTCACATCTGTCACCCGTCAAATCCAGATCTTCATGATATACAACATCAGTGGATAGACACAAACTTTCCACTAAGTTGGTGATATGTACAGACTTACAAATGGCTTCAACAGAATCCCTTGAAATCTGTTCCATTTCATCTGTGTTCTTCTCTGGTAGACGTGACAGAGCATCAGCATCAGTATTGGCTTTTCCAGGTCTATACTTGAGGCTAAAGTTATAACTGGATAGAGACGCTAGCCATCGATGTCCAGTTGCATCCAGTCGAGCACTTGTTAACACATAGGTCAGAGGGTTGTTGTCGGTGACGACCAAAAAGTCATGTCCATACAAGTAGTCGTGGAACTTCTCAGAGATAGCCCACTTCAGGCACAAGAATTCAAGCTTGTGTGCTGAGTAGTTTCTCTCAGATCGGCTTAGTCCTCTACTTGCATAGGCAATGACCCGTGACTTCCCTTCCTGATGTTGATACAGCACTGCACCCAATCCATGACCACTGGCATCTGTGTGTAGTTCAAATGGCTTTGAGTAGTCAGCGTATCCAAGTACTGGTGGGGTGGAGAGACGATTCTTCAGTTCAGTGAAGGCATTCTCCTGATCTTCATCCCATATCCAGTTGACATCTGTGGGTGGTCGTCGTGGTTTCTTTGAAGCAGACTTGGGCATCAGTTCTGATAAAGGTTTTGCTATCTTGGAAAAATCCTTAATAAACTTCCGGTAGTAGCCGGCAAACCCAAGAAATTTTCTGACTTCTTCTGGTGTGGTAGGTCTAGGCCAGTTCTTGACTTTGTCAAGTTTCTCTGGATCAGCTTCGATTCCGTGTTCTGAGACGATATATCCAACATATCTGACTTTCCTCTTGAAGAACTTACACTTCTTTGCTGCAAGTTTTAAGCCACATTCGTGAAGTCGCCGAAACACAAGCTGTAGTCTCTCAACATTCTCTTCATAGGTTCTGGAAAATATTATCAGGTCATCAAGATATATGAGACATATATTAAGATGTAGACCTTCCAGGCACTGCTCCATAAGGCGTTGATATGTCGCTGGCGCATTTGAGAGTCCAAATGGCATCCGATTATATTCAAAAAATCCAAGAGGTCCTACAGTGAAAGCTGTCCGTTGTTTATGGTCTTCTTCGACCTCAACTTGATGATATCCGCTCTTCATGTCCAAGACGTAGAAGAATTTATTACCTCCCAAACAGTCTAATAATTCCTCAATCCGCGGCAGAGCATATGAGTCCTTTATGGTCCGATTGTTAAGTTCTCGATAATCTATACAGATCCTCAGCTGTCCATTGCCTTTGCGAACTAAGACTAAATTAGACGCCCAAGGACTGTGAGACTTCCTGATGATTCCAGCTGACAAAAGAATTTGTAGATGGTTCCGGACTTCATCATACATGGATGGTGGTATTCTTCTGTGTCGCTGTTTGAATGGAGTGGCATCAACTAAATCAATCCTGTAATGCACCATGCTACTGTGTCCAATATCCTCATCATGCTTGGAGAATATGTCAGCAAAACGCATAATGACATCAAGTCCTTGTCCTAACTGCAGTCTAGTCAGATCTGTCTTGTCAATCTCCACTTGATCCATAAGATCATCTGGTTCAACAGGTTGACCAGTGGGAGGCTTCTGTATAGTTACAGGCTGTACTTCACACAACAATGCTCTGGGAGGAATGACAACTGTCCGCATTGTTATGTTGGAGATGTGAACATCAACTGTGTCTCGCCTTGAGCTGTCATAAGTGATGAGGGTAGGGGCAATGTCAAGGTCATCTGGTAATGAAGCATGTGCTGTTGGCTGTAACAGAGCACACACCGCTGGGGATGTGATTCCCTTGGTAACCCGTCCTTTAATCTTAATGTTGCTGTTAGGAGGGATGATCAAACTCTTGTCCTCTGTACTCTTTACCAAGCCAAGACAACTTCCATTCCTTGCAAGTTCCTTATCACGCAACACTATGGTCCTGTAAGCCAAGGAGTGTGTAAGGCGGCTTTCTGGAGAAACCTTTGTCCATGGATTGTCCTGCAGTCCTCAAGCAAACAGCTCAACACATTAGTTCCAAGAAGCGCTGGAACTCTTGAATTGTATCTTGTATCAGGGACTACCAGTAATAAACAAGATACAGGATCCTCGTCATTGACTCCTCCTCCTGTAATGGACACACCTACTCTCACATATCCAATATAAGGAAGTTGTTTTCCTCCAGCACACTCTATGTCTAAGATACCACGGAGAGGTTCAATGGG